TTGATAATCTATCGATTAACGATTTTCTCATGCGGTTTAATGAAACGCCACGTTTTTTGAGAATGTATATTCAGGCTCAAGATGCTCCATTGAATTTATCTATGTAAATTACGGTTCTCTTTTGTATATAGTTACTTGCTATATCATTTATCTGGCCACTTCGCCAATGTCACACATAGGTGTGGGGATAATGACACAAACGGAGTAGACAAAGGGAAAAAAAGATAAGAGGCGACTCGAAAAATAACCAAGTATCCGCGAGGAGCAGAGAAAGTAAACGACCCTTGGCGCTTGCGGCGGCGCTCTTTTGATTTTGATGGATCGCCCTTTTCTCATGACGTTCTCCCCAGCTTTCTTCCTTCCTTCGGCACTTCCTTCCTTCCTTTATCCCTCGCGAGCTCGCTAGTGTGAAGTAAATACTTTGTCTGACGATGATGGACGCGAAATCGTTAAAGCGCCTAGGTTCTTAAATCTTGAATTGACTACGAAATACGAAAAAGCTCTTTTGATTCACATCAAACATCGAGTCATGGATTTTCTATCTTCGGCCATTACTCAAATTTAATGTAACTTGCATGTAATATCAATTAGAAATTTGAGATACGCGAGAAGTAATTGTGGACTATCGATGCACGTCGCCGTTTTTCAAATATAAAAAACACATTTGGTCGACTCTTCTCGAAATTGAATTAAGGGCGTGTTCTCTTAGCTTCGTATTATCGATCGAAAATATTTAATAAAGCTGCCGAATAATCGTATTTCACGTAAATACAGATACAGCCATCGCGGCTATCATTAACCGGATCAACGTAAACCTATAACGAGGCAATGACATATTTCATCATCAGGTTGAGCGACATCAAAGAAGAATAGAATTGATTTAAATAGTATGATAATTGTGTGGAAAATGGCTTTAACGATTATTTAAATAAGTAAATTATCAGTAAAATGAGATGTAATGTAACGTGTACGATAAATGTGAAATATAGAATGTCATATAAATTTAATGCAGAAGCTCTCTCGACTATCGCAAACAGATAATTCAGATATTAATCCGTCTTCCACTGATACGTATTTAATAATCGTCTTTTATTTTTCACAAAAGTTTTAGAGAATTAGAAAGAAAAAGTATCTCGTTCTTCCATTTTCTCCCGGCTACTCTTCAAGTTATCAAGAGCTCAGTTTTTTTTTTGACAAGTGGGGCAACGAAATCGTTATTGTACCTCGACTATTCTCCAAGTACACATTCCCAATTGAAGTTATACTCCGTACGTACATATGTACATCCGTAGCACCAAAATGAGATTTGCAATATTGAATGTCGATATAGCGATAATAGCCTATAGACCTCATGTGCAATATTATATGGCCTCAAGTAAATACGCAGCCTATAAACTAGTCGGCATAGTCGGATCTAATTTGTTACATAACCGCTCAGCTCCACCCAACACTTAATCGAACTGACAACCGAGTCAGCTGTCGCGAATTAATTTGCCTTGCAAGTGTCAAGAACAGGACGACAGCTATCATCATTTTGGTTCTATTTATTGGAAGTATTCACCTAAGTTGGTTCTCCGCTCTTTCACTTAATGTCTTTCTTGTGCGAATAATTACGACGAATAATGAATCAATTAATTATATACATTATACTACAGAAATGTGAATCATACATTTCAAATTTCTACAGTAATGGCCTGAAATATTTTATTGACGTTAAATATAATATTCATCATTAAATATTTCGCGAAGGTATTGCCGCGGAAGGAATTTGAGGAGCACTTTCATAGAGGTATTGTCGCTTCGTCGCTATTATGTCGCACAGAATTCTAATAATCTCGTTGGTTGTTCCGCTTAACAAATGAACAGAGTCGTTCTCATTATCTTCAGCAGTGCAGTTTCGAGAAAATCACTTCCACGCAATTTCGTAACAATCCGAGCTGCGGTATTCAGGAGCGAGCTTCCAGAGTATTGCTTTAATGACATTCTTTGGCGTGGAGAACTGCTTGCGAGAATTGTTCAAGACAGACATAGATCGGACGAGAGCGATCTCGAAAAGTAATGAACGACTATGCGTCGACATTCGTCGAAAGACAGAGCCGGCAGAAAGAGACGGAGAGAACGGTACTTTAAAGGGTTGTTGAGGCATTACCGCCACCACAAATATTACGGTCCGACCAGCAGATCCGCCCTTGTGAAAGTGCAAGTCGAATTTGCGGCCGGGATTTGCTCGTCAGATCGCAGCTCTCGTGTCGGGTAGGCCGCGTGAATACCGCAAAGCAGACATTCTGTGCATTCCGAAACTGTAATATTGCAGTTGTTGTCTGAAGGATTTTGCCCTTCAGGATTAATTATATACCGGAACGGAGACGCATGTCCCTTATGAATATGGAGAAACTGTTACAAAAAAGTTTCAACTTTCAGTAAAGTCCCCTATTATGAGATAAACTTCTAATATGAGACTGCGGGTTTTCAACATTAAAATTCAATCACAAATCTTTTTTCGCGACGATTACACGATCTAACGATGAATTTTCCGCTAAACAGATTTCACTCCAAGGGTAATAAATTCACGATGGGACCAACAGATGATGTCTATTATCTTATATTGGGAACTTGTCTCGTAATAAAGGACTTTCCTCTATTAATTTTGATATTGAGATTTTCGTGGATTTTGAAACGTTCTCTGGCGACTTTGTTTATATTTTCAAACGGTTTAAACCGCTAAAGGAGACTTTTCGACAGTTTGCCACTAAAGGCTTCGGAAAGATAAATTTGATCTCATGTAAGAAAACGTGCATTGTTCCACGTATCACACAAATGTGTAAGATAGTTTTGTTTAATTTATTCCGAAATTGATATGTATAATAATTGTTTTTGCAATAAACGCGTTTGCTAGAGAAGCAACTGGTGCGCAAATTTTTGATATTAAAGCGATATGTATACGTGCTTGTATATGTGAATATACTAAAAATATCATTCCAAAGTAATTACGCTCTGAGTTGTTGCATTAATTAAAGTCACAGATTATACGTGGGATAATATCATGTTTACGTGTGTATCGTAAAAATCCTTTGCAAGATTTTAATTGCACTAAAATTGCATCGTGCTACGAGCACCGCAGTTTCACTGCTGAACGAGGATTAAATAACAACGACTAAAATATGAATGGCTGTCGTCGCTTTATAATATCATGATTTATCTCATGTCTGACATTTACAGGGCGATATTATTTTCGGATGTCGAGTCGCATAATTAAAATGCAGAGATTTTTCTATGAAAAAAGCCATATATATCGGCCTCTCGATTTTACATCGCATTTTTCACGTCACCAATGCAGTGCTCGGCCATTTTTCGCGAGTTCACGTTTATTTGGGGACATAGTTTTAATGCACGAGAGATACGGTACTTCCGACGCATATGACGCGTAACAGCTTTTAGCGGCGACAGATGAACGACTATAAGTCTTGCGAAAATGTATTTTCCAGAAAATAGTGATTAAACGCGAGCCAACACGGAAGCACGGTATTGCCATCTTTTCGAAGAAGAGAGTATCCAAAAATCGATTGGGTACTCGTGTAGCACTCGTGAATATATCGCGAATAAAGTCAATTGTGATATTGAAGGATAAAAATGTTTCATTGGTTCGTGTATCCGTTAAAAAATTTTTTAAATTGATACCGTGGAGATTTTCATTTCGTAAAAGGAATCTCGGATTGACGAAAGCTGGCAGTTTAATAAAAATTCAAGTATATTCAAATACAATTTTAAGTGTGCCACCTCTTTTGCTATTACGTACAAAAGTCAACCAATGAGAAGTGCAAATATATTAGTTTAATATATTAATTATATAATTTTTTATTTTAATATGATTTTTACCGTGGCTATTTATTAATACTTTCCCAGTATTTCGTGTAAAATGGAAAAAATGTGTAGTTGACATTTCTCGAGACTATAACGATATTCATAAAAATTCTTCGAGTTTTTGTCCTCAAGATCCAAAAGTTTTAAGTGATTCTCGTCAAAAACCGCTGTAGGACAGATTATCAAAGTTACGACGCATCTTACCACTCACCCGATTTTTATGCTACGCGATGCTTATAAGATCACGTGGAGATTGATAAAAAGTTGGACAGAAACTATAGCACAAACTTTGCTTTGGACAAAAATAGTTTAATTAAAATTTTCTTGTACGTTTTTTTGCGCTCTTCCTACTGTAAAATGAAATGCATGGAGGTAATCGATAAATACGGGAAATGAGGGATCAGCGATGTCGCAGTACACCAGGAATCACTGATGCCTTCCCATATGAATTTGCGTACATGTAGAACACATATACATTTTCCATGTATGTATATGCAAGATATATAAATATGTGGATACGTGCGCAAATTCATGTGGGAAGGCATCAGTGATTCCTAGCGTACGAGAAATTTTTCTCAATCTGTTTTCTTTTTGTTTCACGCTTCAATAGGTTCGACCATATTTCACGCGCGTAATATGTATGTTTTAGAAAGTTTCGCAAGTCGTATAGTAAAAATGTCATCAACTTTGCGCGCGGTAGCTTGAAGGCCAGCTAAAGCTCTAACTTGCGCGTGATGCAGCTGCGTAGTTTCTTTGTAAGTAGATTACTGTAGCGCAAGTATACAGAGTGTACGCACAATCCTCTAATGCAAACTTTGCGAAATGTGATGTATATTCCAATAAAATTAAATTCTCGGGTTGCCCTCAGACTGTATCTTATGCGATTACACTTCTTTTCTTGCGACTCCTTAGTTTTTTTCCTGGCTATACTTCGGGTTCACGTTAAAATTCAGCAAACTTTAAATGGTTTTATTTAAAATCTTCAAATATCTAACGAGCTTGATCGGGAAATCGGACCTCTCGGCGAAGAGTAGAAATTCCATTCTCCTCTCTCGTAAAAGAGGAGGAAAAAACGGAATCGCGGTTTACGAAGACGCGCGTTCTGGCTGTATCGAACATTAATAAGCTAACCGACTCACCTTCGCATACAAGCCGCAGGGTGAAGTTCGTTTGCCAGGCCAGGCCAGGTCACGGCGATCCGCCCTGATTTCCCCCCTCGCACTTGGACACTTTGTAAGTCACACGCGCACATGCACGCCGAGACGAATCGTACCTCGACGTGCCATCACTCTGTTTTCTCTGCGTCGACGATTATCCCATTTGGTCGGCACGATCACGTCAGGGCTACCGCGCGTTGCATCGTACGGCCCTCCCCCGCTGGGAACGGATGATTTCTAACGAGTCGAAGACGGGAATTTGCCTCGGCGACACTCGAGGACGGGAACACTCGTCGGACGGGGCTGTCGGGACGCGGTTTACGCTTTTGGATTACGACGCCGCCCCGAATGTGTGCATTTCCGTCAGCGTGGATTAAGGGACGTCGCTGTGTTGTCGCACGAGATTGTCATTGTACGCGCCAGTCGTCGTGACGCCCATCGTGACAGGTACTTACTCCGGATACATCTGTTGTTCGAGAGAGTCCGCGTGATAAGCGCACCCGAGTATCTTCCCCGGTGGCGGCCGCGCCGGCGCTCTTTATTCACGGAAATCGGAATATCGAGCCGATCGGTCGAGTCGATCGTTCCGATCTCCGCGCGCCTCGCCTCGCGAACGAACGAGATTAATGCCGAACATGGACGTGGCACATTCGCTGTTATTTATCGCGGAGGAGTACGGACGATCGAATGAATGAGTGGCGCGTATGGCGAGGAGTAACGGAGGGAATGAGGCCTTATCAATTTGCAATGCTTCTCGCAAATGACTGGCGCGAGTGCCGTCAAACGAGCACTGTGTACACGCTGTTAATTGCTATCGGGTGCTAATTGAAATTTCCTCCCCGGATACGATCACTTTCGCGATGACGTAAATGACTGTCGCGCGCAGTTTTTGTCCGACGACGAGTTTCACGGTTGCCCGAAACAATCTCGACCAGTTCTACAGACGGAAGCGAGAAATTCTTTTATATCACACACGGCAGACGGCTTCGTAACTAATTCCCTTACAATAATGTGATAAAGTCAATGTGTTTTTATTACGGCTTTGCGTCCCGTATAAGATATATCCATTTATCTTGCCGACTAAACTTTCGAAGAAGCTCCCGTAAAAGAATTAAGCTCTCTGTAGCGACGACACGCGTTTGCTCTCGCCTTGACATACAATATTAGTCGTACCAGAGAACCGCTTTTGCTTCTCCCTTCTTTCTATACTTCGGGGGTGTAATCATCGGAAACGGCGACGACAAAGTTCAGTGCAAAAACGACCATTCTTTAAGAGAGGGGAGAGAAAGATAGCGAGCGAGAGAGCGAGGGAGAAATGGGGAGAGAGGGCGAGAGGATCTAAAAATAAAAGAAACCGGGTAGGAAAGGACCAAAACCATTAATTTGCATAGGTTGCCTTACATCTGCCGCGCCGCGAATGGGAGAATTTTCGGCGCGGCGAGCGAGAGCCCCGTGTGCTCTGTTAATTGCCACTGGTCGCTAATTGAAGTTCGTGCGATGTTCGAGGCCGGGGCGGTGCGCCGCGGCAACGCCGGACTTTTCGGCTGCGAATTCTCGCGTCTGCGGAAGCTGGGCCGCGTCGGAAACAGTCGGGGGGGCGTTATCATACGGCCGCGGCAGCCCGGGCCAGGGCTACTTCGTTACGCGATTGTCTGCGGCAAACTGCGCGCATTTACATCGGCGCGAATTACACGCGGTGCATACGGACGCGTCCGGCAGAGCTGCGGGAGATTCGTCAGGGGGACGGGGGTGTCCACCTCCCTTCCCTGCCCTCAATCGTGCAAATCGCGCGGTCCGCGCTCGAGAGCTTTGAGAAGTTATTCTCATCAACGTCCGCGCGCTACGCGTTCGAGTATATTGCAGTACAGCAAGTCCGAATTAGAGCGGTGATGAGATGCATGCGCATTTAATTCTTCGATTTGTCGGGCACGTGCTGTTGCTAATTAAAAGCATACATATAAGTGCGTTCACATAAAAGCATCATTTGTTTGTGTTTTTTGTTTTACGTAGATGGATATTGCATATCGATTTTGCATATCGAAATGACGTTTGTTTAAAAATATGTAACAGAGATTTTAAAGAGTCTTTTTTTAGAAGAATTAATAAATTTTTCGATGTTAAAATAAATAATTAATTGTTTAAAGCATCAAATGATAAATGAATTCCGCCCATTATTAATATCGATTCCGGAATTGAATCAAGTACAATGTAGTTTTTAGATTAAAGAGTTTGGATTAAGGTGAATACTTGTGAATATTTGCGATTGCCGCTGTAACCGCCGCAACGATAACGCTGAGGCTTAAGGGAGGCTCTACCGGTCGGATATTCGCGATCGCAGCGAATATCGCATTTGCATTGCGGCGGATTATACCAAATTCATATGTATATATTGGTAGAGGGAAGGAAATTCATCAACGCCTCTCTTTGCACGGCGCATGGTTGAATGGCATGGTTGTACAAACTGAGCTATGGTATGCGATTGCTCAGCGCAAGTATATCGAGTCTATTCATGGATCTATAGAATCGTAGAGCCGGGGCCCGCCATGAATTCTACCTACTTTAATTTAAGGGTCTTTGTCGATCCGAGTGTTTGCGATCGAAAACGAAACTGGTTTATATTAATTGGCACGCGGTTAAACGGAAATGCGTGCCATGCCGCGATTTATCGCCACGCAGCGTTTGAAAGGGAAAGTGAACGTTTGATAAAATCACAAAATTTTATGAAAGGAGAAACTGTTTGATTTCCAACGTCAAGTTCGCGTGTGAACTTCTTCGACGTGCCAATTTCAGATTTTCAAATATTTCCACAGAAATTTCCCATTCTGCACAACTTGTTATATTACCTACATTTAATGTTGTACCCCGGTCTTTGTGTTTTAATTTACGGGCGTCAAGAAAGCATAGAGCGAAAAATTGGATAATATCGCGAGAGGTCTAACATTGTGTATGTATAAGATATTTCCATACGTATCGTAACGATTGCTTCGCGCATTCGTATATAACGCGGCTGATGCACAATAAAATCTATAGGTGCTCAGCTATCCTCGGTATTAATGCACAGCAAAATAATGCACTTCCGGCGATCGACGATCCGATCGAAACTATAAAGCTCGAGAGGGGCCGTCTGCATACTTCGCCGCTCTTTTACGACTTCATTAAGGCGCCGTTACGAGCTAGATACTGCCGAGCGAACAAAGTGTGTACTTATATAGCGCCCTTACGATAAACCGCGTCGATTTATGGACATCGCGCGCGGTTTAACGGCCGTTACTAATAATTTTTCCCTTCGAGATGCGCCACCGTCGTTACACAAAGCCGATACGGCGGATTGGTTTGGAGGCAAGTGAGATTTTAATTTGTTAGACGCGGCTGTATCGAACGCAAACGCGGTGTCAGATTGTCGCGCGACTTTAGGGTGCGCGCGCGTTACGAGAAGCATCGCCGAAAATACGTATTCCATCAATGTGCATCATCGAATCAGTGTACGGTTAACGTTTGATATTTCTCGTGAAAATCAGGACGCATATACCTACTAGTTTCATTGATTTCATTAAGAACATATATTCATTGAATATTTATTTTCGTTTGTAAAACGGGAATACGTTAATATAAATGTGGCGGCGTATTTCAACCGGTTCGCTGACACCGTGTTTACCGTATCACCGAGCGTATTATTTCGCGAGCTGAAAGGACGGATCGTAGATTGAGATTTGCAGGCCAATAATTGTTCATTTACCGCATTGCTCCGCCGCAATATTTGTCAGGCATTGATAAAAAGTAACGTTATGCAGCCCGTATTAAATTTGGTCTGCATCAATAGCCTGTTTAAGAGGATTAACGTTACTGTAATAACGGCGCCCTTAATCACCGTATAACGTAGGTTCAAGTTCAACTACGTCGATGCGGTGCGCGATGCTTTCCCGGAGGAAGGTAAACGTCAGTGCGTTTACAGTGTAAACAATGTGCATAAATGTTTATGATATAGGTACGCGAGTTTGATAACGACGGAGGACTTCGGTAATGAGGGTGAAACGTATCAAAATATTGATACTCGCGCAATGACTCAAGTAGGGAGATCAGAAACCATTCCGCTCCATTTTCAAGCATCCACTTTCAGGATATTCGATCTCGCTATTCCTGATGGATTGATTCGCGCGATATAATTACGTAAATGCGAGGAAAGTTTAAGCGCGAAAATTCTGCAAATCGCTCCGCGGTAATCGAGATCCATTGAAAATGCAGATAGTTATTAAAAAAAAAGAGAGAAAAGAATATACGGGAAGCCACGATCGTTGATCGAGCTCGCTGTTGACGTTTGACGAATGTTAAATAAAATCTTTCATTCGGAGTAACACGAGCATCGCGAGTGTTTCACGCACGAAGGTATAAAAAAAAAATATTTACTTGGCGTGTGGCGAAAAAGCAAAAATATCGGCGTGATATCGGTTGGAATGCGCCAAAGTTTAATGCTGGCAGAAGCGATATTTCTAGTTGAACCAGATATGCATTTCGACGCTTCGTTTAAAATTTAGCTCGCCGGGATCCCGTGTATCGTCGTACAAGTTCGCTCTTTTTGCGCCCCCTCCCCTCCGCCCGCATTTTTTCCACCTTTTTTTTCTATTTTTATAACGATGCACGAAGATCGTCAGCCGTGCGTTGCGCTGTACTATGCAAACAATGCGTATACATATTTATATGCCACCGCCGGGTATCGCGCCGATAAAATCGCCGTTATGATGAGAATGGGGGGGGGAGGGGAAGAGGAGGGGGCCCGGCGCAATATTTGAATGGCATTTAACCGGCGGCAGACCCCGGTCGGATTTTATGAAACGTCGGGGCCGATTAAAAGTTCTCCGCGCCGCTCTAATTTCGGAACTTCCTCCAGACGCGGACGCAGGATCTGTCGCGAGAGTTTATCGCGGGGTCTACGCGCGCGTTCACGCGCGCGAGTCGTCGTAATTGGACGTCGAACGATACGGCGTGTCTTTATCGCGCGGCAGCTGGCCCGGGCTTTAATTTTTCACGTTATCGGCGCGATTAACGGCGCGTAACATGTGCACGTACGCATGTATACGTAGACAATCCGGTCGCGTATCTCTGATTGCATCGAAACGCGTAATGCCCTCGAAATTCGGATGCGTTAAAGTCAGCTCGCAATCGAGATGAAATTATAGGCTGTAACGCGACGCGTATCGCGCGCGTACGCGTGTGCGTACGCGCGCGAGTCGCACGGATCGTAAACAGTCGCCGTTCATTCATGAACCTTTAAATCCTCCGCGCCGCGCGCGAATTGATTGAGGCTACTTTGGCCGCGCGAGACGGTCTTACGGCGTCGTCTCTCCCAACTGCGCTTGCCAACAATCTGCCGTAACACGTCGCGGCTGTTCCGATCGGAAACTTTCGGCTGTCAGAAACATTATGCACGTGCTGTCAAGTGCACGTCTCGTGAAGCACGTGCGCGAAACTCGGACGCGGGATTAAATCGTCGCGGATACGTACGTTGGTCCAGTTGACACGAATCGCCGGCGGACGCGCTCCGTTACGCCTCTTTGCAACCCGCTTACTTTACGAATGCGTGACACGGTGCGCCCCCGATATTAACCCGGGTCCGGCTTATCCCCTCACGTAACTCTTTACTCGGAGAAATCCAGTCACATCTTGTATTTTATCTCCCCTCGCGGTAAACTCCGCCTCTCCACGCGCATCTCCGCGTGCAATATCTAATTCCATTAAAAACTTACGGCGGAAGAATTTTAAGCTCTCGCACGTGTAAACTTTAACGATGCCGAAACGAGATGCGCTTCGTTTACAAAGTAAAAAACTCACAATCGTATCACGGTTTCCGGGTGGGGGTGGGGGGGGGGGATTTCAACAGAGGGAGTGCGCCAAGATTTAACCGCGCGGGGATCCTCTCTCGCGAGAGGCAAAGGAGCACGTTCTATCGGGTAAGTCCGGCCGAATTCCTCCGTTACTCGTTCACCAGCTATGGTTTCGCGGGGAGACAGTCGCCGCTGTTCAGCTCGCGCCGGGCGAGAGAGATCCGTGCGTCGCACGTCGCATCCCTCTCTCTCTCCCGCGCACGCAGCGTGCAGACGATTCTCATTCAGGAACTCACACAGAGGGTCTATCCCGTTGAAACGGCGCGCAGCATCCCGCCGCAGTCGGGAGCGAGTGCGGCGGTGACGCGTAATGCGGACGAAATTGCGCGTCGCGATAATGCGCACGTATGTATGTATATGCACGCACGCATGCACGCACGCACGCACGCACGATGGTCGGGTCGTGACACTGCCGCGTGCGACGTACGCTTATTTCCGTCGACGGAAACGTGACACCCGCCGCACCGTTAGGGAGCCGCGGACCCGTCGCTCCCATTCAAGAGTCGCCGGCGGACTGCGAGCTCGCACCGTGTCGAGATATGGGAGTGGTGGAAGCGTGGGAGACGCGGGGCCGAGGAGGACGTGGTACCGCGTTCGCCGAGTGGGAGAGAACGACCGTGAGCACGGGGGATGAAGCGGGCGAGAGCGAGATGCACGGAGAGCAAGAGAGAGGGAGAGAGCGAAAGAGAAAGAGAGAGAGAGAGAGGGGGGAGGGAAGAGGGAGAGAAAGTGCGACGATGCGAGAAAGCAGAGACAGGGATGCAGTTACGCGGAGGACGTGGACCGAACGAGGAGCGGGCGAGAGCGGCCGCGCGCTCGAGGAGCGAGAGGAAGAAAGGGCGCGAGAAGCGACGAGGGAAGGAAGAACGCAGGCGACGAAGAAACGCGAATGCCCTAAGCACCCGGGCGACGAGGAGAAAAAAGGAGGACGGAGCGCGCGAGTGCGCGGGGAGGGCGGGCCGAGGGGGGATAACCGCGGGTGCGACAAAGTTGGCGAACGCCGTTATCCTACCTTTCTCTCTCCCCGACTCTTCCCTTTACTTTTCCTCCTTTCTCTCTACTTCAACCCTTCTCCACGCTTCCTCCGTCCCTTTCGCCTCCATTTCTCTTGCGTTTCCATTCTTCTCGCTCTCGTATCTGACAGTTTTGCACCCTCCGCTTCCTGTGCGCCTTATACGCGCCATTTTTTCCTCCACCAGCTCGCTCTTTGGACACATTTCGCGATCTTTTCTCGGGCGTCCTCGCGAGCCCCCGGCCCATCCTTCTTACTTTACGCGCCTCTTCAACGGCAACATGCTCGGGCGCGCGTAGACCGCGGGAAACGCAAAAGGATTATTTGCGCCGCAGAGCGCCACGATTATCGCCGAAAGACTATCTTCTGAAAGGAGCACGTCCTGCCTTTGATTACGGAGCGGGCGCGACAAATGTCATTATAGAAATCGCGTATAAATTTTATCTTAAAGAAAGATTAGAGAGGCTTCTTTTCTTATTTCCCGCGAGAATGATCAGTTTGACTTGATGTCGTTTCGCACCCTGAGTATGATTTTTTTTGCAACATTCTCACCGGTGATTTATCATACGGGATCCTTTATTTCTTAAGGATAAGATTGTTTAACGTTTTCCGATACCTTTGGACACTTTTAAACAAGTTTACGAATAAGAGATTATTAAAGTTAGTCTAGACAATTAGGGCTTTTCTACTCTCATTCACTGCTGAATGTCGTTCTGTGTTTACCTAACTGCTGTATTTTGTAACAGAATTTCCATAGAAATGATGCGAATGTACCGAGCTGCATTCCCGCAGTCGTACTGCGTAACTGCTGCGGATGCTTCAAATCGTGAGTGGACAAATTGTCTACCTCTGGTGTACCAGTATTAAGGGTATTATCTTTGTCTGTGGTATAAGCAAGTAAATAACTGGTGATGGATGTAATCACTCTGGCCCCAACATGTTGTGTATAAAGTAATACAATTATATAGCATTACTATATATTTTTTTAAAAATCATGTCTAATTATACACTTTTAACACTCTTATAAATTACGGTGAAATAATTTGCAGACGCTAATAATTGTCCGCCGATAATTTCATTATTCTGATACTTTTGTCATTTCTTTCGTATTGTCTCGTACCACATTTCTGATCTATCGCGGAAAGTCAGTAGCATGTACTGAATATTTGGAAAAAAATTCCCTTTTTTCTATTTTCTCAACATGACAGAAGGATTCTATCGATGGAGCTGATAATTTTTATGTTTGGCTAATGTTTAGTCAAAGATAAATTGAGACAAAAATTGTTGCTAGGATGAAAAATCCATTTAAATATTTGGAAATTCGAGAGCTTTTCTTGTCAGAGTGCAGGACATTTATGTGTACGGGATTTGTTTCTATGTAATCCATCTACGTGATATTGTTGTATACGATTTATATATAGTTATATTTAACTTATCTGACTCATATACAATACAGTTTCTAACAACTGCCCAATAGCCCCGAGGACTTTGAACTTCGTGAATAGAATACCTCCAGGACCACAAGACTTGTGATAAACCAACAAGAAATCAATTATTGCCGTATATGCACGTACTGTTTCTAACATCAATCATCGATATTTTTCTTTCAAAATTGTACGAAAAATTTCTGTAAAATTATTATCGTTACCAGAGAACTTCCGCGCATTGAAGTTAAAGTTTTGAGGAACATCACAAAGTACATGAAAATGCAAACAGAAGATTTATAAACATAACGGACATGTGTACAAGGAGAATAAGTTGGTACAAAGGAAGAAGGCGCGTAGAAAATTTGGAAATCTCATATACAATTTCATCGGGACCGCAGTTTATTTCCGCAGTTCGCAAAGGCGATCATGAATGCGCAATCATGAAACGACTTATACCTAAGTAATATCTCATAAAATTCGATATCGCAGATTGAGTTTTCCACTCAACACGCCAGCTTGGCTCGGCTCATGGGGGGTAGTTCAAAGTGGGCCAACAGGGATGAACGGTATTATGAGAAAGCTTTTAAAGGGCTTACAAGTTCGGTTTCAAGGTGAAAAGCAACGACGTTCTGCATAATGTGCACATTGCAGTAAAAATAACTATTAAGATATAAGATTATGCTAATTAATAGCTCTAACTAATTACTTAATGGGATTCTAAAAAGGGAGCTAAAACAAGTTGTTTTTAAGTTTAAAATGAAATTTCTCGATAAAGACTCGTTTAAATTTGGAAAAGTCATTCCCTTTTATTATTACAGTTTTATAATTATTTATAATTGCTTATAAACACTTTTGCAGATTTATATATACTTTAGCAGATATAATGTAGAAAGTACGAAGTACAGCAATTGCTGCCATCGTTAAATTCAACATATTTGCACAAATGAGCAGGTTGTTAAAATTTTGTTTTAATCGTCAGAAAGGAGAATTATTAGTGTTAGAGACGTTAATTTTACCTATCCTGGCGTAACTATTCCGCGCACTATTATGCAATTGTTATTTCGTTTTAGTGTTTTATTTTAAACTTTTGTTTAAAATAGATCTGTTCGCAGACGTTAATTCTGTTAGATTTCGTTATATATTTATAACTTGAAAGTGTAGAAACAACGACACACCAATATCTATTATACTTTCTATTTGACTTGTAAGACTATTTTGAACGCGCTTGCAGAGATCCGCGGAGACAAAACGCATCGTTGATCGTTCCTTACTTTTCGCTTATAACATACGCGCGTACTACAATTTATCTTAACACAACAGCTTTATAAATGCCCACCCCAATAAGACCGATCTTCAAAAATGATAGTTGAAATTTCATAGATCGCTAATTTAGATCATATTCTAATTCTGGGGAAATTTGCTCAAAAGTTTGCACTCTGTTACAATATTGTTCTTAGCAGACAGTCAATTTCAAGACTTTAATTCTTTGGTCTATTACTATTATTCGGTTTACCCATTCCCGTTAGTTTTAATAATAGAAAGATAAACGGAATTAAAAGCGTTAAGTGAAACAGAGAGGAAATGGAAAAATGCTTTTAGTCGGATAATAAAATTAATGTGCTTATAAAGTGAAAATAGAATTTGAGCTAGATCGCTCTTAGATAGTCTAGGAAAATAGATAGTAAATCTATTTAATGAATATATAAAGTATATAAAATACATTAATGCATTTTTAATTCGTTAAATTATATATAGAATAATTCTATTTATAATATAACAAACAAATAAGAGACGACACACGTATTCCTCGCTGCGGGATTATAACTTTTTTTATACGCTACCATTTGGGAGTTGTTCTAAAATTACACATCTTTCCGGTTTGATTCCCGGTATCATATTCTTTATTACACGGACACACTTTATTTGAGACGCTCTGTATTCCACATGCGTCGCAGTGTTATTATTCCAAAAATGTTCCGGGTATATCGAAGTGTACCCTTCAACCGCAGCTGATAGCAAAATCCGACATGACCGACCCTTCGGTAGATTTTTGACTGCCAGCTCGCAGTCCCTTCTCAATACGCAAAGGCTTCCTCGGGACGAATGAGGTAGAAGCTTTTAGAAAGCTCTGCAGAAGGCAGAGATTTTCTGGCACACGGAACATATGCACGGTGAATCGTCTCAGTCACACACACGTTAATATCCTAATAACTGTCTAAGATACCGAAAGAACGAAAGAAATTAAAAACTGTCAGAATAGTTTGCAGAAGGAATGTATCATCCAGTATGCAATTGCTTCAAAACGACGTTAATTCTTTTTGTTTTTATAGCGGCTTCGTACTTTTTTTTCCTAAGAAAAACGCGATGTACAAAGAAGCTCTTATCTTGAAAAGTTGTCAAAGTGCTAGCTTGCTACAAATTATGCGACTCCGTGTACGGTCTGTCTGTTGTTGGTCTATCGACGTGGAAATGCGCGTAGCGAGTTATCAAAGACAAGAATGTCGGCGAGTTCACGGCACGAATTTTCCATGAAACGCGGCTTGACTGAAAAGCTCGGCTGAGATTAGGTCGGTGGCCAATTTCCGTACTCTCTTTCGACTCCACAACATCTTTAGCGTTGAAAAGAAAATTCGTATTGCGAGCATTTTAGGAAATTTCAACATCTTTTCACCATCAATAGCATCATACTTTTTTCGGAATAATTAAATATTAGAATTTATATGTCTTCACGATTATTTTTCGCAATAGGCTCAAAATTAAAATGATTTAGACACTAACAACCTGTCTTGGCTCTTACTACTTTATTACTTGATTTTATTAATTGTCTAAGGCCCAGTTTTTTATTTTCTGGTTTAGTGTTAACCAGAAGTTAGTCGACTCACCATCTTTTTCTATGTTATTATCTAAGAAGCGACAGAGAATCGACTACCCTCTGGTTAACAATTAACCAGAGAATAAAAAACCGGGCCTTTATTGTTTTTTTACAGTCATTGATTTGGTAACAGCACTGTATTTATCATATACAATGTGTCTACTATATACTTGTATGAACACAAATATAATAAGAGTAGAG